GGGGGGGGGGGGGAAGGGGGGGGGGGTCGGGCAAGAGTACTTGGAGAAGTACCGAGCACTACAAGGCCAAGCGGAGCAGCGCGTAGGCTATTTAGCAAGTGGGAAGTGCGGCCGGCCGCCCGAGGGTTGATGAAGGGCATCCTCGCCAGACAAGGAGGCACAGTGCGCGGTGCCCCCTATCGCTTGATATCTGTTGCGGCGTCGTTGCATTCCATAGTCAAGTCTGGCGCGGGCACTAACCACACACAGGCGGCCCGTTTGAGGTGGTTGTTTCCTGGGTACACTCGCTGGGCTCCGGCTTTTTCTCTCTTCTTCGAACGTATTCGCGCATCCCTGTCCTCTTCCAGTGTACCAGCTCCCTGCCGCTTCCTCTTTACAAGCCTCCCCCGATAATGCCAATCCACCAATCTCTCATCAGGAGCTCCTGGATGAAAGCGGCATCTTGCCGCTGCTCAACGATGCCGGCGGCCGTGATGACGCCACTTCCCTCGCTGCGGCGGTCGGACTCCTCACCGACGCGCTCTCCGGAGAGCACAACACCGCCAGTAGCGGGGGCGGCGGCGGCGGCGGCGGAGGCGGAGGCGGAGGCGGAGGCGGTAGTAGCCTTGTCCCTCAAGACGAGGAAAGCTGGGAGAGGGGAGTGGCCGTCCCGAATGACCCCGAGGAGGAGGGGCATAGTGTAGAGAGCGGCTTGAGAAGCGCGGGTATTGTTGGCGGCGGCGGCGGCGACTTGGACGAGGTGGACCAGGTGGACGTCATCATGCAGGTACGTGGAACAAGCTAACAGAAGTCGCGGGCCGGCCGGGTGCGCCGCCGCGCAGGGACACGCCTAAGGGTGCGCTTTCCGACCTTGTGCTTTTGGGCTGTCGTGGGTGTTGATTTTTTCGTGCTGCGTGGTGTTGACGGTATTTCGAGCGCGGGGGTTGAAAGTGTTGATTGGGTAGTTTGCCGACGTTGTCGCGATGCCCCGCACAGCGGACGGATGGTTTGGTTGGGATGGGCGCCAGTTGTGGGGAGGACGGTTTGTGAGGCGCATTGTCCGAGCCGGCTAAAGCTTCGTGGTTAGATTCATTTTACAGCGGCAGCAGCAGCAGCAGCAGCAGCAGCGGGAGAGCGTCAGCGTTTCCACCAGAGGGACCTCAAACCTTATCCCCAAGAGCTCGGCTGGGGATAGCTAGCTCTTCCCCCTACCTGTCCGTTGGCGCGTGCCACGCACAAGCCACCACCACCGGACCGCAAGCAGCTTCTGCCCGCTCTGTGTCTGTTTGTGGCTCTTTTTTGTCGACAGGTCCTGGACCTGATCGATGCTGTGGAGCGCCTGAAGAAGAGCATCGTGGAAGGAGGAGTCTCGCTTGGGAAGGTTGAGCAGGCCGTCGGCAAGGTGGCTCAAGGCATCGACGTCTACCTCATCTTGGCGGTAAGGAGCCTGCTTCCGGTCAAACTACTTGCCGTTTCTCTGGGGAGTCGCCGTGTAGGTTGAGGCCGGCCGCTCGCTAGTGCATGTTTGCGTGCAGGTGGTTCGGCAGCGGGGGGAGCGCATCCTCATACGTGAGCGTATATCTACGTAGCGAGCGGAGGGAGAAGCAACAAAGCTCTATGCAAGCTCTCTCTCTCTCTCTCTCTTGCTCGCTTGCTTGCTTGTCCATAGGTGCTCGAAATTTGTTGCTGGGGCGGTAGTTAGGCGTTACCCCCCCCCCCCCCCGATTGTGCTCCCTCTCCAAAGGGACGCGTGGTCAATGGTCAAATGACTACCGCAAGCAACAAATGAGTACGCCCCCCCCCCCCCCAATGGGCATCCGTGAACCGTCCTGGGGGAAAAAAGGTCCCTCCTCTCCAGGAACCCTGGGCAATGGGCTAAACCCTAAAGGATGCAAAAAATAAAGGGACCCCCCCCCCCCAAAAAAAACCCCCTTTTCCTCCCCTTCCGGAAGCCTAACCTCCCCCTCCCAATTGCCGGCCAAAACATCCTAAGCCACCGGGGGGGGGGCCACTTTGGGAACCCGGGGGGGCCTTTCTTTTTGGCTTTTGAATGGGCCTTCTCAGGGGAAAGAATTCCTGGTCCGCTTTCTCTTGGAAGGGGGCGGCCAACTCCCCCTCCGGGACCCCCAATTTCCCCGCAAAGGGGTCCAAGGTCCGGTTTTGAAACCTGA